TCAAACACAACTAAATATATCTAATATTTATTCACATATAAATAGTACAAACAAAATATAATATATAAATAGTAGCTAAAGCATAGAATAAAAAAAAGGAGTGTAGAAGCAACCGAGAGCAAGAGAATAGAAGAGTTAGGTGGTAATTAAGGAAATGAGCTTTATTTCGGGTTTCTAACATCAAGGTAGTGTATTTGTAATCCTTTGTTGTGTTATGGCTTTCTTAAATATAATGCTTGTTGGGGATTTGATTTTGAGTATTTAAGCATATTTAGGGATTTTGTTTGATTCATGCTTAAATGACATTTTTGGTGTAAAGAGGGGGGTTTATAGTGCTAGATGACCCTAAAATTTTCCCTAAGCTTTAGAAAATGATATAAAACCAAACTAAGTTGGTTGAGAGGATTTTGGACTAATTTCGAAGCCTATTTATGAGTTTTCTGGGTTGTAGTATTGATATTGTATGAACAATATCGATATTTTTCATATTATAGGTAAAATATGAGCATTTTATAATGGTAGTATCGATACTATAAGGAGGGGTATCGATATTGCTCCTCTGGTATCGATACTGAAGGCTCTGATATCGATATTGGATGATTTTTAGAGACATCAAAACTATTTTTGGTACCGATACTCAAGGGAGTATCGATACTTGACTAGTGAGTAACGATACTACATGTAGGGTATTGATACTACCTGTTTTGGATGGTCAATTTTAACTTTGTTAAGGCCTGTAAAAGTTAGGATGACTCGTAATAGTAGGGCTTAGCCTGAGAGAGGCTTAAATGGTCAAAAGTGACTAGAAACACTCTTAAGAGTGGGTTAGAAATAACCTTAATGGGTAGAATACTTCAAGTACCCTCAATTGAGTACATATTGAGAAATCACTAACAAAGGATCATTGTAAAGGTTGTGCCTCCGAGCAAGATGATTAACCACATGATTTGTGTGATAAAGGAATTGTGAACCACATGAACTTAGATAAATAAAAGACATAAGTGTCCCAGTTCAAAGAAGGATCGAAGGATAATGTGATGAGAGTGACTAGAAAAATTCTATTAAGTAAATTAACCCTAAGTCGAGTATTGAGCTAGCAAATAATATACCAAACTGAGCAACGTTAAAAATAATTTTCGGAAAAGCATGAGACACTAGAAGACCCTTTAGGGGTGAAAATAACCAAAACACCTTTGGGTGTTATTTTACCAGAATATAGTGGTCAAATGAACTATTAGATGTAAAAGAATAATAAACCTTTGAGTAACGTTCTAGACAAGAGAACGAATGAGATAATGACGAGTAAGGGAACGACTTCACCTACTAGTGTCGAACTATGTTAGGGAGTAGCAGAGATACCTTGTTTGACCTTGTGTGGCATTATTTGATGTGTGTGGCGTATGGACACCTTAGCATGCATGTGTGATTGCATTGATGTTATGTAATGGATATCTAAGATGCTTAGCTTGAGTATTGTTTTGATACAGAGCCAATTCTATGTTTGAGCGGGAATTATACCAAGACTGATATGACATCGGGTTCCCCTCTACTATCTGCCTGATGGCTATATAAGGATCATGAGATCATTTGTATGTTTGGTGGAAATTTTACTGAGGCTTATGTGATAACGGGTTCCCCTATTTGTGTTAACCACCTAAAAGCTATTATGAAATAGGTATCAACATTATGTTGTATGATGATCATCTATTACAGTTAATGATGCATAGCGATATGATATTATGGTTAGAGACCTAATACATGTATACTCATGGCGAGTCCCTTAGCAAAATAGTAACGGAAGTGTGAGTCTCACATTTTAGAGATAGAATGATTGAACTTTAAGTAGATAGCACTTGATTATGAACATGCGTGTACCTACTGCTTATTACCATGTCTTCTAGCATGCTTATGTTACGAGCCTCACAACGCTGCTCTAGGTTAGCGATTATACTGTTGGGCTTTGTAAGCTCAACATTTGGATGTTTTTGTTCGTAAATTAGTAGTTTGAGTTGTTCGAGGAGCATCGTCGCAACTGGATTTCCAACATCCCTGTCAGAGTACTATATTGTTACTTTTAGTGGACATGTGTATTCATAAACCCTTACTTATGTGTTTGGATTTACAAACTTTGAGTTGTATTATTTGATTTAAACTATGTGTAACGGAATTCCGGTTTGTAAAAGTATTTTATTAAGGTTATGGATGTCTACTTTAAAAAATATATCATGTTTTAAATGGAAATGAAAAGAATCTTTATATTTAAAGGTTGCCTCGGCAGCTTAATGTGACTTGAAAGCCCAATCAAATTTATGATGTTACAAATTCATTTCTACGACACATCATACAGGACTTGACAAGAAAAACAAGCCAGCAACACATAGGTAGCAGCAGAGAGCCAAACAACATAACGGGTTCCCAGTCCATCCTAACTAGCGAAATAAACCATATGATTGACTCGCCCAATTCCCGCTTTGGCTTGAAACCACAAAAATGTCCCAAAGTAAACTCCTACATAAAGAAATAATCTCCACACTTCATGATTTGTGAACTTGTTTTTAAATTTAGACAAAAATAAATAAATAATATCTGAATGTATATTTATTTGTTTTCATAATAACTGAACGTAAAAATATATTTTAAAACTTTCGATTGTCAAGTAACCATCTACTTTAGAGAATAACAGATTTCAATCTCAATAACTCTCCTCTCCTTTATGAAAAGAAAAATCAATTAAATTTGTTTCAAATCTCAAATTAAATAAAAAGTTTACCAGATTTATTAATAATAATTACTAGTCAACTCCAACTCCAAATTTAATAATTCATTCAATTAATTAAAACATGAAAGATGATTAACGTTGTTGTTTCCTTCCTATATTGGCGATAAGTGATGATGACCCAATCCAATTCATACGCCATCTATCCTTTGCCCTTAATCTTACTAATATTTTTTGTAGTTCACTTAAGATTCAATGTCCAATACAAAACTTATTATTCTTTACTTCAAGAAACCCTTTTGGAAAACTTTAGGCATTTTCTTGTTTTAGTTGTTAGCCATTTTTTGTCATTTTTAAGCTACCCAAAGAGTAATTTATATTAAGTTAATTTGGTATCTAAAAATTTAGAATAATTAATGAGGATTAGATTAAAGCTGGTTGAATTTTGTTTGTTCGGTACCATTATGAGTGTAATATATAAGAGAGTGTGTAATTGATTATGATCTTTCCATTTAAAGGTATAAAAATTCCAGATTAAACATTAAATTTTTTTAATGTTCTCGATTAAACTCCCTCCCATAATTTCTCAAGATTATCATTAAGTCTCTCAAATTTTCAAAAAACAAATTAGTTAAACCTTAATTTTTTGGAGGAAAAATGTAATTCAAAAATTTTAAAGATTTTAATTTAAACCTTTGAAATTTTGAAATTTTACGTTGTCCTCCCCAAAAACTTTATCACCAAGTTCTGTCACTGAATAGTCATTTTATTTTCTCTTCCTTCATCCACATCTAACATAGTATGAAATATGAACCATCAACTATCACTTAGAATCATTATCTCAATCGTTAAACATCAACAATTTTAATATAATTCATTCCATATATGTAAATATTATTCCTCGACGAACACAACTCAAAGGAAATTTACTTCAACATTTTGATTTTTTTAACTCTCGATAAAAACTTTTATTTATTAAATATATTGATAATACATTTTATATTTTTCAATAATTTAGGATAATTATAAGATATATTTGTTTAAAATCTTTCTTAATCATTGACACACCTTGAGATATAACTGCTTAAACCTAAGATCTCTAAAGAAATCAACACTCTCTTTAATCACCGAAATTACTTGGTAGACTCTTATCACATTTGATATTAAATAGGCATAGCATGTGCAGATAATATTAATTCCTATTTTTAGATCTCCATGGTTTATCTATAATACGTCTCAAAGGAATTTAAGCTAAGCAACATATTTTAAGTGGCCAACAAAAAATAGCTTTGCCTTTCTAATTACAAAACCTAATTTCATGTACAGCCCGATGGCGTCTTAAGATAATTTCATGTTAAAGGCACTTACATATATATGGGCAACCTTAGGAACACCAAGTTCATTTCAAGTATTAATTTAAATAATTAAATGTTTATATTTGATACAACGTTAAATTAAATTTATATACTGATTATGAACTACATAGAAAGATAAATTTAAATTGGCAAATCAAATTATTAAAATATAAATCGTATAAATTTAGTTTATATAAATATATCTTTTTTTAATGATATATTTCTTATTTGGGATTTAAGATCATGTTTAAATTTTAAGTTTAGAATTTAAGGATTAATGTTGTAAGTTTTAAGGTTAAAAGATAAATAAGATTGTGCGTATAAAAAATTACTCAAAATATAAAACTAATTATTCATTCATTTTTAGGTTGTACTCTGGTTCCAAGCTTCGTCCTGATTAATCTGGACAGACGGGTCGTATACCTGGCTTTGTTGGTACATCTGGTCTTGGTGAGTGAGTCTCCCAACGAGATTTTCTGCATATACAATGACTCAAACCTGAGACCTTGCTTAAGTGATATCATGTTGCTTACTACTTGAACGAACCCGTAATTTTCTATTAAAACCTACTCTATTATGCGTGTATAATATATATAGATGTATGAGGAGGGCGCTTTCGTAATTTTCTTTTTTCTTTTTAATCTATTTGAGATTAGTATAAAATATTATATGTTAAAAAACAACTCTTTAACTTTTTTACATTAAACATTCACACTTATTATATTCTTGATGCTCAAGTCTAACTGCTTAAGGAAGAGCAACTATTTATTTATCACGAAACCCAATGATTTGTGCCGCATTCTTAATTTTGAATAATGAATAAAATATAATATTTTAGCCTCCAGTGCATATGAGTACGGCTGCTGGTGTATATATAAAGAAAGAAAAGTGGGCGAGGGAGGAAGATGAGAATTCTGAAAAGTTGAGAGATGGGCAATAGTTTAAGGTGTTGTTTGGCTTGTGTTCTTCCTTGTGGAGCTCTAGACCTCATCCGTATAGTCCATTTAAACGGCCACGTCGAAGAAATCACGCGACCGGTCACTGCCGGCGAGATCCTCCACGCCAACCCTAATCACATCTTAACCAGACCCAGCTCTCAAGGTGTTGCACGTAAAATTTCGATCATCTCTCCTGGATCCCAGCTCAAAAGAGGCGGCATTTACTTCTTGATCCCCAAATCTTCCTTACTATATGACGAGAAGAAAAAGAACCACTTACGCCATAAAAAGTCTTTCGGCAAGAGCAAAAAATGCGACCGTAATGAAGCTTCGGATTCCGACCGCTGTTCCCTACTAAACACCAGTATTTCAGAAACGAAGCGTTCAGGCCGCGATCACAGAGATTGTCGGAACAGTCGTGGACGAGTATGGCAGCTCATCTCGCTAGCATCTCCGAGGACTAACAATTTTTTCCGGTGACGGAATCTCTTCACAGATTCCATTTTGTGAATATAATTTACTTTTGCGAACTGGTGTAATAGTGGCAGATTCGTTTTGTCAAATTCAACACTGCTTTTGAATAATTTACAAATCATCAACCTTGTAAATTTGTCAGCAAAAGGTGTAATAAATATTTGATTGACTCTGCATCATTGATGTCCATAATTATTGGATTGATTACGTTTTATATTTCTTTTTATTGCAACCAGCACGATGAGCATAATTAGTTGATACTTAATCATTTTACAATTTTAAATATTTATATGTTTCTGGCATAACATATAGATATGGTTAAATTTTATATCTAACTTTAATTAATTAGTTGAACCAAATATAAAAACTATACGTTAAAGGCTAGCGCTGGATCTCGATGGGTTGGAGGAGGAGGTAGGCGTTTTGTTGGGAAGACGACGAGCTCATATCATTATATAGAAACACATTGTCTTTTAACTTATCGAAGAACCCCCAAAAAAATGAAAAATAATTAAATAACCGCATGATCTGTATTAATTGTACAAAAAATGGTACATGTATAATTAGTAATAATTGCAAAAACAAGCTGGAAAATGGCTGTATAATCTGATTGGTTGATTCGTCAAACACAAATCCAATTTCATGATTAGAAAAAATGTTTATATCCAGAGTTTCCATAATCGAGGCTCGTGCAAGCTTTGGCCATCAGTTCCCGACGGGAGAAGTAGGCAGATTTTCTCTGTATTAAGAATTTTATATTACAAACAAGAATAATATAATTACCGAATGCAAATTATTTAAACTGAAATCTGTATTAAACTAGAGTTTCGCCGTTTGTTTTCAGCTAATGATGCAAATGTCGACATGTTGTTGGGCCTTTAACTCACATGGATTGTGTGGAATCCATCTATTACGCGAGACACCTGATCGAAGGATGGTCATTTCACCGAATTCGAGTTTGGTTGAATTTTGAGAATTAAATTAGATTAGATTTTTATTTGAGATAAGAATATTTGATTTGGTTTGAAATAATAATATAATTATCTTTTTATATTTTCAAAGATAATTTCTGTAATATATTTTTATATTTTTAATTAACTTTTTTTTATCAAATAAAAATAATATATTTTTGGTAAACTATAACAAATACTAGCAAACTTTAGACGTTGAATCGTTTGTGTTATTGAAATTTTAATTTTTTAAATTATTTCACAAAACTTTGATTCTCGTTTCAATTATACCATTGAGTCATTAAACCATTAACGATATGGTGACACAGCTGACGTCGTAGACACACCAAAGTTGTTAAGGGTTAGTTTAGAGTTAGTTATCTTTAGCAGTTGATTATCTTTAATCTTGTATATAAATACATTTGTAATCTTATAAGCTTAATGCAAAAATAAGTGTCCAAACTATACCTAAAATTAACTTTTGGTGTCTAAAGATTTTTTTTGTTAAAAATAGGCGCCTAATGTTTTCTCCGTTACACTTTTAGGTGCCTACCGTTAGAAAATCGTTAAGTGACACGTGTCATGTTTATATTTTTTATTTTTCTAAAAAATAAAATATTATTTAAAAATATATATTTTTAAAAATCTAACCATGAAATTTATTACTTAATGGGATTTTTTAATGTTAAGCACCTAAAAGTACAATAGAGAAAATATTAGACATCTATTTTTAACGTAAAGTTCTTTAGACACCAGAAGTTAACTTTGAGTATAACTTGAGAACTTATTTTTATATTAAGTCTTTTTTATATAATAAGATGAAATATTTCCCACATAAATCTTATTAGTTTAACATAGTATCAGAAACCTTAGGTTTCAAACCCATGTTCCTATAAAATTTTGGGGTGAGTTTTAACTGCCTATTACCTCATTAACATATTATATTCTTTTGTCCCTAACTGGAAAACTCCTTAAGAAATGTTGTACAATAAACATCCCAATTTATTTCACCTAGAACTCTTTGATTGTTTATGTTATGCCATTACACCTAATCCATATGATAAATTCTGTCCTGGAGCGATTCCCTTTATTTTCATGGGGTATTTCAATACTCCAAAATGATACTATTGTTCAATTTCGATACCAAATAATTTCTTTGTTAATCGTTATTTCTACTTGATGAAAATATATTTCCCTTTAAATTCTCTCAAATATATTCCCTTTATTTCCATCTCAATCGAATATTCATGACTCTAAATTTTTTATTCTTAATCCAACTACTTCTTCTTTCAATCCTAATTTGGGCTTACCATTTACTACTAGTTCTTGTGATTCTAATTATGTTCCCCTTGTTTTAGCTGCTTTTTCACTGATCTCTATTTATTTCGTGTCTAATGACGACTCTTCTAATTCAGTAAGTATTCTTTCTCCTGAGTCTTCTGTTTCAGAACTGAATTTTAAAAAGTCTACTATAGTCCATAAGCCTCATTGATTATAAGATTATGATCTTTCTTGTCAACCTCCTACTTCTGAACAGTTTTCTCCACTTTACAACATATTCTATTGTGATCTTTCCTTTTCCACTCAATGTTTCTTTCTCGTACTACTACTTATTTTGAACCCAAATCATTTAAAGAAGCTTCTAAAAATATTGTGTTTAACATTTCAGCATTTTTAATAAATTTTAAGATTATATTTGATTCAATCATTCAAATATATAAATCCTTTTTGAAGTCAAAAATTCCATTTTACTCTTTACTTTATTGAAAAATTGATTAATATACTAGAAATAATTTTAAAACAATTTTACAAAGGGTTTCGATCTTTAATCGAGTCAAAAACATTTAAACACATTAGTATCGATACTATTCATATGGTATCGATGAAGTATCAACGCTAATAGCTTAAAATACACAACAATATTGATAATATCAATAACAATAGCAATACTCATTTGGTTTTGCATATTCTATTGAGCTATTTTGGTACCGATACTGTCAGTATCGATACCAATATATGTGGGAGTATCAATACTCCTCTTATGTTTTTGAGATTGTGAAAATCCAGTATACCATTTTGTTACCGATACTCATTTAGTATCGATACTACTTATAACAGTAGTATCGATACTACTTATAACAGTGATATCGATATTCTTTTTATTAGTACCAATACTCCCTTCTCCAATGGTTGTATTTTGATATTTAATACAAGTAGTAGTGATATTTCAAGCACGAGTACAGGTACTCAAGGCATCTAATCAACATTTATTGCAGAAAATTTCGTTTCTACAGATCTATTAACACCCACAACTACTCAAACAACTAGAATTGAATGAAGGGCGTTTAAAAACAAGATTTCAAGTGATATGTGAAGTCAAGAGATCACAAAGAAAGCCTAAGCAATCAAATAGAGTCAAATTCAAGTCAACATTCTTCAATATTTCTTTTAGTTTCATAGGACACTGTGTACCATCTTTGTATTCATTGTTTCAAGTGTTGTTTTTGTTTTTAAATTGCGCAAACACATTCCTAGTGAGATTTTTCTAAGTTTGCAATGTGTATTTTTCTCTTTGAGATAGTGTCTCAAGAATTTGGTGTATAATTCTTGAGGGAGTTGTATGGTTACAAATTATCCTCAAAGATTGCTACAAATTAGTGAATTTATGAAAATCCTTAGTGTGGATAGCTAAGGTAGTGGATTTAAACTTTTATTTAAAAAGTCGAACCACTCTAAAATTTGTTTGTCAAATTTTTCAATTTCTCTTTAAGCTTCCACCAAATTTTATTTTCTAATTCACCCCCTCTTTGCTATTTTATCCATTCTATTGACTTAAAATCCTAATTGGGCTGTTGCCATGAAAAAAGATATTATGCTTTGCAATATAATTGTACTTGATTCTCTAGGCAAGGTACCTATTGGCTGCAAATGAGTATATATAGGATCAAGAACAAGGCTTCTAGTGAAATTGAGAGATTTAAGGACAAATTAATGGCTAAGGGATATAATCAACAGGAATATGTTGATTTTGTTGATATTTTCCCCTGCTGCAAAGTTTATCACTATTCGATTTGTCCTTGCTATTGTGTCTATGCGTAACTCGTCTTTGTATCAAATTGATGTCCATAATACTTTTCTTCAAAGAGATTTAAATAAAGAAGTGTATATGCAACTTCTAGATTGTTTTTGTAACCAATGGGAGTCTCAGGTTTACAGGCTACAAAAATTGATATATAACCTGAAACAGGTTTCTAGAAAAATGGTATTTGAAGCTATCAGAAGCTTCCTTGCATGTTGGAAATGTCCAAAGTAAACATGATTTTTTTAGAAGGAGACAAGAAAACAAAATAGTTATTATGATTATCTACGTTGATGATTTACTTCTTACTGGAAATGGTGAAAGTATGACTAATGAGTTGAAGAGGACAATGAATTTGCATTTTAGAATGAAAGACTTACGAGAATTGAAGTATTTTCTTAGCATTGAGATCTTAAGGTCTAAAGAAGGTTTGTTGATGAGTCAAAGGAATGCCTTGGAATTAATATAAGATACATGTTTGAGTGGAGCAAAGTCTGCAGCTACTCCCATGGAGCAAAATTTGAGACTAACCACAACAGAGTTTGATAATAGTCTGCAGTTAAGGGTGAGTAAAATTCGACTTGACTCGAAAAATTGATTTTTTTTATTTCGAGTTAACTCAAATTATTAATTTGATTTTTGAGTTCGACTGGAGTTAAAATTTTATTCTAGTAACTCGAAAAACCAAAAATTTTGAATAAATATTTTGACAGATTTGTGATTTGGTCCCTGATTTCATGTTCCTTAATTCATTTTTCACTTTAAGTTGATTTTTTACCAAATTTGAACCACATGCTCCTAAACCATCATAAAATACATATGTACTTTTAAATCCATTTTTGGTAACAAATTGTTTTTCAATTTAGCCCCTTAATTTTATATCATTTCCATATATCTTCAATTCATCATTCATTTTAAGTATGCTTTTTGACCAAATTTAAACTATATGCTCCCCGAACACTATAGAATACCTATGT